ACCGAAAAAAAGTTTATTAAAAGCCATGCCAACATTTAAAAATTAACTGCACAACATACACTGAGACTCCATCTTTAACTTTCTGTGGAATGGATGTCATTACGTTTATCCTAAACTCACACAATACAAAAGCAAAAAAAATCTGTTAAACTGGTATCCTTTTCTCTCAGTGTTTTCAGAGCTACCTTGCAGTAAAGCATTACAAGGGCCTAAATACTGTATGCTTTACAGATAACTTGCATAGCTGTTACCATATTTTGTAACACTCCACAACTGCACATATTATTTGTACTTCTTCCAGTGACAGAAACAACCATCATAATGCACTTCCAATTAGCCCGCCAACACCAAAACCAGTTGCAAATGGAAACTCATTAGCCTACGAAGACACATTAGGAGAAAGCAGGATTCAGATTAGACACAAAGGAGAAACCAGGATTCAGAAATATACTTTATAATATTATGTCTCAGAAAAAAAAATAATTATAGTGTTGGGAAATATTTTTGCACTCATTTCACATTTATTCATTCAAACTTCAGAAATCCACAGCTGAATGGTTTGAACTCACAAGTGCCTGTGGCTTGCTAAAATGTGTTCTTCCCTTTAAATTCTGATCTGAGAATTCAAAATGGAGACAAGTTTGAAGGTAGAGGTGGTAAACTCAGAGTATATCCATGTGAGTTCACTCAGTAGTAAAAGTTTTGATTCATATCAGACATGGCCCATGATTATATATCTCTTCAATTATTCATGGCATGTAACATGGAGCTTGTTCAAGTTTGACAGCTATAGTAGGTCAGATGATTCCTAAACCAGAAAAAGACCTAGTAGGCCAAAGAGACAACACCTGCACTACATCAAGTGTCAAAGAAAAGTTTACTGGAAAAAAGCAGCAAACTTGAAACAGCTACAGGAATTTACATGAGTTGAGAATGCTATACGATGTGCATACGGCATTTCTGGTTTAGCAGTTTCAGCCACCAAGCAACACTGGACTTTAAGAGTAGGTTTTCCACAGTTCCTCATTTTACATTAGTTCTACATACAATTAAATACCTATGGGTTTATGTCCAGTCTACTACACAGTAAGAAGTGCAGACAAGGACACTGACAAGCTTTTTTCCCAGTAGTACTGGATTAAACTGATCATTTTTCCCCTCTTTCCATCTTGTCACTCTTTCTCACAAAGGCAACAGCATTTGAATGACACGAGAACAACTACTGGGCATATTTTGAACCAGTTAACTAAAAATTTTATTTAAAATTGTGGGGAAGGGCCATTTTAATAGAAATTCATTTACTGATCTGTCTCACACCACAGCTACGTACAGTTACACCAGCACTATCGAAGCCACAGAAACATGCTCTGTGGATGTTTACTGTTCTAGAGGATGAAGGCCATGCTCAAACAAGCAGTGAAAATGAAAAGCATTCATCAAGCTAAAATCTGAGATATTCTATCTTCAGGGGAAAGGAAGGCAAGGAAAAAAAAAACTAACAAAAACATAGAAAGACCAAATAAAAATGAAAATGACACAGGAAACCACAACTGAAGATATCATCTAGCAGGAGAATTGCTGAAGTATCAAGAGCTGGATCCTTTAAGTAGCTTCAGCATGAGAAGAAATGGAAGCAGAACTAGCTTGATACCAAATTTCACTTTCAAAGAATCTGAACATCAGACCACAGAAGTTATTGAGGGCAATACAGCTACAAAACCAAGCAAAAGTCATCGTTATCTGATCTCCCGTATGACAAAAACCTAGATTGGTTTTGCCTTGGGCCTGCCTGAAACAATGACTGCCACAGCAACCCAGGGAAAGGATTTTTAATCACTTTACTGAAAGACCAAGAGAGTGATTCAGCTTAATGAATAAAAGCTTCTCCCTTCCTTCAGGCCAAAAAGCAGTGCCCTTCAATCAACCTAGAGGAAATAATCTATGAATAAAGAAATGTCCTTTAGAAAGTTTAGTCCATTTTGCCCTCAAAACATACTTCTGACGTTCTCTGCTCTTTCTTGGCCGAGACCTATGTAAACTTGTCAGAAGAAAACCACAACACAAACTGTTTGAAGTGTTAGGAATGAATACTCAAGCCTTGTGTCATTCAATAAGCAGCTGGGTTAAGAGCTCTGACACAACCCTAAACAAACCTTGTTTACAATTTCCAAACCAAAATTTCCTTTGGCTCTCTTTGAGCTGCATGCCAATCAGCAAAGAGCATCCTATCCGATTTTTAGAATGGTCAGATGCACGTGGGGCATCTTCTGTAACCACTATTGAACTGTCACAGAGTTATTTACACTCTTTGTTCAAAATTGTCACCTCACATCTCAGAGTTTGCATAGCTTCAGCTTCCAGCATTAAGGAATTTAGGATCACTATATCTGAGAGGTTTAGGGTCTGGATGGAAAAAAAAAAGTAATAACAGTCCAAGTGTTTCATGGCCTATCCAGAAATCTTGCAGTCCTATTACGTACACATTGACATATCTTGATAACATGTCCTTAGCTACTCTAAATCAGATTAATTTTCTAATCTGCAAATTAATAATACACAATAACCTATCTAAAAAGAAACCCAAAGAAAAACCATGGAACATATTATAAGATTAGCAAAGAGTTGCACGCAAAAATGAGTGGTGATACAATCAAGGTTAAAGAGAGATATAAACATCTCTAGCTAGACTAGCAAGGAAAAAAAAAGCTGATTAGCAAAACAACATTTAATGAACACCACAGTTAACAGTAGTCACAACCAAGTCAGCCAACACAAAACAAGTCTGGAAAAACTGAGCACATCTCCCATAATTTCACAGACAGTAAATGCACCAGGCAAAGTCATGAGATGTACAATGGGAACAAATTGGATTAGCACCAATTGCACAGCAATGAAACGCAGGAGGACTTTGGGGAATTAAAAAAAAACAGGCATATTGCTTTCATAGATTATAATTTCCTTTGGGACTGCAGAGATTAACCCTGCTTGTTTCAGTAACTGAAGGGGAAGTGAATTATCAATAGTGTTAAATAAAAGAATCTATTTTTGATAGAAGAAAGCAAGGAGTATTTTTTAGGAAGTTAACTGTATGCTTAAGAGAACATGATAGGAAAGATTTTACAGTCCCGTTGGAGAGCAAATATTAGATCAAGTAAGATTTTGACCAAATAATTTTTTTTTTCTTCAAATAGTCTTTGCTTTTCTCCAGAACTCCTTCAGGTTCTTTTTGCTCCTACAGGTGTATCTGTACCTTATAAAGGTAACTTTGTTCAATCTTCTAATATGACAATGTAGAGCTAAGCTAAAGTTACACTTCATCCAAATAGTTATTTGCTTCATATTCACTACATTTAATAAAATTGCACAAATAACAACAAAAAAGAAGCCAACCCAGTGGCATACATTCATGATCTCATTCCAAACAAATTTTACTCTTGTTATTTTGCTGTAACAAGTTTCTTCAAATGCGTAACAAAGTAATAATGTTTCTAGTGCACTGAGAAATAACTTCCAGCTTGGTTACACGTTACCAAAATGTTTTTAAACATAGCAAAAATGTATTTCAAAAATATAGAATCATAGACTCAGGGACACCTCACACTAAACCATGCCACCCAAGGCATCGCCCAACCTGGCCTTGAACACCACCAGGGATGGAGCACTCACAACCTCCCTGGGCAACCCATTCCAGTGCCTCACAACCGTAACAGTAAAGAATTTCTTCCTTATATCCAATCTAAACTTCCCCTGTTTAAGTTTTAACCCATTACCCCTTGTCCTACCCCTATATCTATATTTATGCCAAGGAGACTGGCAAAGGGGAGTTTAAGTCTTAACTGTTTATACTTGATGCATCAATATTTATGCTAAAACAGCCTGAAGTATAGCTTATTATATTCAATAGCTCATCTAACTCACCAGGGTTGCCTTGGTCAGCAGATGAAATTTTATTCATCTTTACCATAGGTTAATGAAGTTGTTCTATGTAATTATTTTTATTTTTAATGCAGATATTTTCAGTAAAACAGGTGACGACCTATCAAGGCCCGAAAACCACAAAGCTCAAAATTTATCAGAATGAATTTCATTCATATCTTCACATCATTCAAATAGTCAGTTTCTAATGTTGTTTCTTCTTACTGTCTGAATGGCCAAGTACAAATAATCAGACAAATCTGCTCACATGCAGTCAGAACACCTTTGTCATAGCTTGGTGCCACGAAAAAAAAAAAAGTTTCTCCGGAGGTGTGGCCCAACAGCGAAGTCTGTAGAAAAAAAATGGAAATTACCTGTCCCCAGAAATTATCTGTTCATTTTTAAGATCGCTGCTTTAAAACCAGCAGACTAACAAAGCCCTCTGGGAAAAGCACGGTACATGTAAATGACCTTCTGCTCCCAGAGGCCTCTATCCTCATGCATAGAGAGTCTTAATTCCCTCCTTACAGGCATGGAATAACTCTCCAACTAGAATTCCAGGAGGACTTTAGAAGGTCATCAGCCTTAAACTATTTCTTGTTGACTACAGACACGTTGCTCAAAGAAAAGTAACACATTCTCCACTGTGATCACAGTCCCTTCTAAGGAAATGATTGAGAACATGATGGAATCCTAAAATATTTAACAAGGATGTATTTTAGAAGCTGCTGCTGACAACTTTACTATTTCTGTGAGTATGTTTTACAGCATGACTTTCTTCCAGTTTTGAAATATTACTGCCTTATTTGGGAATACTGAGATCAAAATCTTACACAGGAGAAAAGCTCATAAATTGTACAGAATGGAATGTAGGTAAATGCTGAATATTCTTTCCTTACCTACTATGATATAGCCTTTAATTTACAGCATGATGACAGACTAAATTGAAAGCTTCAGTTTCTGAAGAACATCATCAGAAGTTCAAGTTTTGTTTTCAAACTTAAACAGGGGAGATATAGGCTGGATATAAGGAAGTAATTCTTCACCATGAGTGGTGAGGTACTGGAACAGACTGCCCAAGGAAGTTCTGAATGCTCCATCCCTGGCAGTATTCAAGGCCAGGCTGGACAGGACCTTGAGCAACTTCGGTTAGTGGAAGGTGTCCCTGCCCATGGCAGGGGTTGGAATGAGATGATCTTTAGGGTCTTTTCCTTAAGGACCCAAATCATTCTATGAGTCTAAGTTAGCACAACACCAAACCACGTAAAAGCCCCCAAAAGCCTGTGCTTTCAGGGTAATAGCAGTACAGAGGAATATATGCCTACCAACCCAGTGAACGCAAACCAATATACCTGTTAAGCCAGTATTCATTAAGTGGTATCAGTATTCACAAAAACACCACAAATTTCGCATGTTCAAAGTACTTCCACCTCTGTATTACTATATTTTTCACCCTCTAATTTGGTCTTATCTAGGAAGTTGAGCAACAAGTCATCTCATGTTTCTGCACGAATATATAAAGTATCCCTCAATACTATCGACATGCTCAAGGACACACTGGCAGTGGCCATATTAAGTACAGAAATTAGTATGTATCTGAAGCCAGACAGTGATTTGAAATCCCTTTGAATTTTATTTCTTATGTCAAACTCTTACATTCTTGTTCACGTTCAGTAATCAGGTGATCTAGGAAATCCTAATTTCATAGAAGCCACTCATGAGGAAGAAAGCCTACTAATCTACACCTTAGAACACCTCCAGAGCAGGGACTTTCGTCTGTTAACATACTGGGTCCATTTCCTTTCAGTACTATGTAAGAATATAAATATTTACTAAAAATAGTTCAGCATGAGGATGAGTCACAACATCATGTCCTTGGAGACTAATTCAAGTAGAGTCATTCTGATCAAGTGTTACAATAACCATCTAATAATCAAGACAAACAGAATTACACTTTGAGTAAGTACTATTTAATGCAAAAAACAGCTGAATCATACCCTAAGTTTTAAAAGCTCCTACTGTGTGCATAAGTAATTTCACTACTTACAATGGGTAAGTAGTGATACTCACACATGATAACAAGGATTAAAATACTGGTTCTCACTTTTGGAAGTAAGTTAGAATGTGTGTGGGACATGAACTTATTGAAATTTTGCTGAAGAACCCACTCACCAGTCATTTGCTATATATTATGAAACAACTGGCTGAAGTAGGCACTGCTCCATTTGGTAAACAGACCAAGCAAAGGCAAGTTTGGGGGCCAAATTTGTTTGACTTTGGCTTACACAAGTCCATAAGATAATGAACGTGGTATTTTCTACAGTTAGTGAATAAACATGAGCAGCAGAATTATTCCAAATCATAAATCTCTCCAGTTAGTATCAGATGCCCCATAAAGACTGGTTAGAACCTGCCTATTAGAGTGACTGAAACTGGACACCTCCCTTAAAAAGAAAAACAAACAAACAAACAAAAACCCCTATCAGATTAACCTACACCATAAAACCAAACAATAATTTCTGGGAACCATGAGGGCAGACACATAGGCAGCTCTGCCCCGTACTCCTGCACAAGCCTGGAAGGCAAACATTGTTTTGGGTTTTTTTAACTCACTGCAACAAATCTCATCTTTAATGAATAACATTTCTAAGTGAATTTTCAGAAGAAATGTGCAATCTGGAGTACCTCAATTTGAGACTTAAAATCAGCCACTACCTTCAAAAAATATTTGTTCTTTGCAAGAACACTGCTCACAGTATTTATTGAAGAAATTACTCATAACTTAAGAAATGGATTCCTACAGACAAATGCCATTCAAAAATTCTCCACTAAGACCTCCTTTTGAGTCCACACAACCCAGTCACCACTGAGTGTCCGACAGAATCGCCTGCTTTCAAGAATCTCCTCTCCTCAACTGCCATGCTGAAACTCTCCCCCAGATTTTCAAAAGGCAAATCAAATTTTGTTTTCCTCAATATACAAAATCAAGGTTTTGGTTGGGCGGTTTTGTTCTGGTTGGTTGGGGAATTTTTTTGCTTTCTTGGGGGGATTTTTTTTAAATCCATTTCCTCACATGAATCAACATTTCCTTATTTGGAAGGCAAGAGATGTACATGGAATATTTACATGGGGCTCTAAAGATACGTCCTTGGACATTTTTTGATATTCAGAAGGCTTCAAACAAAACAAAAGATGAGCAAAAGAAAAATGCCTGTAGAACCGAAACAGATAAGATTGTCAAAAATTTTGAATGTAATAAATCATTAGTTTTGAAGTGATAAACAAGGAAACAAGTTTTTAAAATTGTTCACCACAGCATCCCTACTACAAGTCTGTTTTAAATCTATGAAAATAAAAAGTTGAGATTCCATTATTCATTTGTGAACTCTATGACAAATAATTTTTATTCCTCAGATCATAATTTTTGTTATGCACATCGGAAAAGTTTTCAGCAACCCCAATTTAAGTGAAGATTCAGAATAAACAGGACAATAGAAGATTGTACAATTGGGTAGTAATCGACTAAGGTTGTGGGCTCTGTGCTCATTAGCTTCATAGAAACTACGATTTATCACAATAAAGATCTACACCACTATAACAGTATTTAGAATAAAACTAGCTGAACTTCATTCTCATGACGATGTCTACTCATACACTGTACTTTTTACTCAAGTATTGGAATAGGCATTCAAATGTTAAAGTAAATTCCTACAGAAGCTACTTTATAAAATAAAAGCAGGTCTAGTAACTGAGTATTTGTTATTTTATACAGACACAATTTACCATACAGGTCAAAAAATAAGTCATGATAAAACTTGTGGCAATGCTCCTACCAACTCAACCTGACAGATATCGCAGATAAGACAGATAATATTTACACGTCTCCTCCAGCAAAAATAGTCACACTCTTGCTTTAGCTGGTTTTATGCAAGGAAAAAAACCCAGAGATACAGTACTAAAAATTGCCAAACCAAGTGCAGAATTTTGTTGGTTTAACTATTGCAAAGATATTTGTACTGCTGCCTACAAAGAAGCATTGAGCAGTTAAGTGAAGTTAAATCAACATGCTTGAGCACTGAAATTATTGGGGGAAAAAAAAAAGAATCATTTTTCACTTGGAAAAAAATCTCAACACAAGGTTTGAGAGAGTATTAGATAATGGCTGCCTTTTGCTGACCATTTCTCCTCTGAACTTAATACAGTAACAGTAAATAAACCCAGGCATCCCTAATTGTAACTTCACAAAATATTTTGTATCAATAAAGGCTGAATAAATTTGATATTACATATGGATCATATTATTACTAAACAGTAAGGACTCTATTAAAATATGTCTATCTCACAGTTAAACACCACCCATATATGTACCCTTTCCACAGGACTCTTCACTTTGAAAAGTTTAATGGTCTGCCCCGATGTCCCTTTCATCTGACTACAATCCCACCATTTTATACAAGAGTAAAGGGAGTTTTGAAAAACTAAAAGATAGTAAGCAGATCAATTCAAAGATTTCTCCTCATTTGGGCTGGACCAAAAAATGAACCATGAGATTTTACATGATAAAAGTAATTCTGCTGCCAGAAAACAAATCATGTTACCTATTTTTGACATAGATGACTTAGAGCTCTTAAGCATATTACTAAATGTAATGCCACTTCAAGAGCAAAGAGTCCTCTGTAACAAAGCAACACTTAGAAACTGCATCTACAGCTACTCCCATTACATAATTAATATAGGTGTACTTCCTAGATTAATACATACACACAAGGGAAGTTTTCTTTATATGGAGCTCTGATTACAAGACTGCAGAAAAGCTAACGAGTTCCCAGGGCATGTGACTTTGGCATTCATTATCTTTTACTCCTCCACAAGGAAAAAGTCTACAAGAACAACTACTGAAGGAGAAATACAAAGTAACTCAGACCATTTAAACTATCTTTAATTTACCATATTAGTAGATATTTATGCTTAAAATTGCTTAAAGATACTTTAAAAAAAAAACACAAAAAAGCAAACAAAAAAAAAACAAACAAAAAGCCTAGATCACATATCTGCAATTTCTTAGCTATTCATCTTAAAACATATAGTAACAGGCAACTGAAGGTGTTCCAAAATGTGGCTTTTCCAGTGCATATAGAAACTGGGAAAAGATTCTGTCCCATAACAAGAAACATGTATATGTTATGAATAATCTTTCTTCTAGGTTAGCAACCTATCATCCTCTTTCTCTTGGATTAACTATTATTCATAGTTGGCACTTTGCATATCAGATGTTTAGGTAATGCCTTAAACCTTGTAAGGTCCTATACAGAGTTATTGTTCCTGTTTAAGACATAAAAGTGTTTTCTCCGCTCACAATGCATTTGGAACTGAATTCAGAAATTTTTAATTTCAGACATGAATACAACCAGAATCATGCTTTACATTCTTCCAGTGCATCTAAAAATGCCCAGTCCAAAATATCACATAATGAAGTTACTGCAGAAGCAATAACAATTTCAAACATTTATGACCTGCACAACTAGTACCTTTCCCAGAAAGGTCTCAGGTGGTCACCTGTGCTACTACACATTTTGATTGACAAAGTTTTTCCTGCAAAATCGTGTCTTTGTCAGTCAGCCAGATGAGTTTGACTTTCTGTGCAAAATATACTTTCCATTTACACTAGTCTGTGATCAAACCAGGATTATGTAATAGAGCTCCTGGTAACTGGCTTGCAAAACTATCCACAAAAAAATAGCAATAAAAATAGTACATTCCACTGAGAGCCATCTAAAGTGCTGCAACAGCTGCTGTCTTTGAACTGCTCAAATTTCTATCAGAAATGCTTATGTGCTGTGTAGAAATGCAACCATTTCCTTACTACTATTTTTTTTTGTTTAATAACTAGAAGAAGTTAAAAGAAAAAAGAAGCCATAGCTCTTCATACATCGGACCTCTGTATCGGAATTTTAAAAGCAGCATCAGGTGAGCAGACAGGCCTAGACAAGATCAGAAAATAGAAAGAGATCAATTTGCTTTATAAGCTGCAGTGGTGAGTTATTTGGTTTTTTTTTTTAATTCATAGCTCTAGGAAAGAACATTTGGAAAAATATAAAGTTGTAATACATTCATGTACAAGGTTAGTGTCTTAAAGAAGGGAACTTCTGTTTTGGGGAGTTCTGTGATCTTCCACAACAT